CCAGATGATGAAGATGTCATCAATGTAGCGCAAGTAGAGTAGGGGCGTTAGGGGACGAGATCTAAGGAAGTGTTGTTCTACTGTGGTATCTACACTGCACTGGGTCGATTGGAGACGTAAGTCGACAGGAGAGCCTTACACTCCCCTTCGTTCCCAGTGGAGTACTGGAGTCGACTGGAGAGTGCTCTGCCGTCGATTTAGCAGGTCTTCACTAGACCCACTAAGTTAACCCCCAGTGCATCGATCACAGCAGCACTGATCCCTAGGTAGTGTAGACATAGCCTTAGACACCTAGTCTCCCACCAAGTTCCAGTTTTGGCTCCACTGAGATCCACAAAACTGCCATCAAATCCTGTAGGCACCTAAGCTGATTCAGTGCCTATGTTTTTCAGAGTCAAAAGTTCCCTACTGCATGTATTCCTGCCTGTGAGCATGCACGCTGCTGTCTTCCTTTAGGTATCCAGACACCCGTCTCCCACCTAAGTCCCAGAATGATTCACAGACAGGGGAAGACAGGTGTTCAGTTGCTTAAGTCATGTGTAGGGCCTGATCCAGTAGGCAAGTTCAGATGTCACCTACCAGATTGGGCCCCATTCAAAATCCAGCTGCAGGATGACGAGGAGGGAGTGGTGCCCCCTTATAACTTTTAGGTTAGCAGATAAGAGCACTCACCTGGGATGTGAGAGACCCACTTCAATTCCCCACTTTCTACCAGAGTGGGAAAAAGGATCTGAAAAGAGGGGTCTCCCACCTCTCACGAGAGTGCTCTAGCCATTGAGCTACGAGATATTCTGATATGACACAGCTTCCTGTTGAAGATGTTGCACTCTGAATAAATAATGAAAGAGTAGTTGGAGCCAGGGGCCTGGACCCTAGATCTTCCACCTCCCATGTAGATGCCCTAACCACTGGCATAAAGTGTCCCTCCTACTTTCTCTTAATTTTCACCAGGGAACCCTTCATCAACTGTTTCCAAATACAATGTTTGCTTGCAATATTCTGAACACTTGAGGCACATTGGCAGGGTGCCTTGGTTTCAGCACACTTGTCAACATACCTCAATCTTCCAGGGACCATCTCAAAGAAGACTCCGAGGATAGCTCATATACATGACTAGGTTTGGACGGATTACATTTTTATTGGTAAATGTCAATTTTGCCACGCACACAAACCGACAAAAAAAAATATTGTCAATGATAACAAATTTACAGATAGCCAAAGAAAGAAAATGCTGCTTGAGAACTCAGAGTTGGACTTAAGGATTTTTAATTTGTGTATTTTGACACTGATGTTAATTTTTGCATTAATGGTTACAAAGCTTTAACTTTTTGAACCTCAGCATATACTGTCGTTAACTTATTGTCTGGCCCCCCACATTGTCTGATTCCCCCCCCATAATTTCCAACAACCAAAAATTTAAATTCATAAGAATCAGGAAAAGATGCTTAAAAATAAATAGTAATATCCAATTTTTTTTTAAATATATAAAAATCAAATTCTGCCAGGCCTACAAGTGACTATTGAAATTTTTTTTGCTGAACTTCAAAAATGCTAATTTAATGCCAATTGTGATGGTACGGTTTTGAGGCAGGCAAATGCCCAATAAGGACTAGACTGAGACCAGCCATTAACTTTGAACCAAAACAACTTTTAGCCTCTACCTACCTGGACTGAATTTGAAAGATTTGTATCCTCACTACTAATCCCTTGAACTGGAGAGGCAGTTTTAAATGCATATTATATTCCATCTGCACAGAATAAAACTGTTAGAGTTCACCATCTATACTACCAGCTTCATGCTTTCATCCACAAGACTTTTTCCTAGTATCAACCATTACCAAGATAAAGAAAATAGAGTCCTGGAGAATACAGACTAGAAGCTCCAAAAATATTTTTAAAACACAGATTTTCCTTACCCCTCACAATCAACTATTTCAGGGCCTTCAAATGAAAAGGGATCAGTCTTGTCTGGCTCTGACTTCATCTTGTAGGTTTTTGTCAGGACTGAATTAGTAAAGTAGTCATTGGGCTCGAAGTGGAACTCTAATGAGAAAGACTAAAAGAAAGTTCCATTATTGTTTTAAATTATACCTGATTTAACAAACAAACAAACCCACCCACCCAGTAGGACGACCAAATTCTGAACAAATACAGGTAAGAGGAAATTGAAAGAGCCTGTGTTAAATACATATCTACTGACTACAGTAATGATTTTTTAAAGTACAATAATTAACAGAAATAGGCTTGGATAATAGTCAAACTACGTCAGTCAAGTTGTTTTAATGAAGCTTTTACAAATTATCTTAATCTCTTATAGCTTTTATTTTAAGTTTGCATTTGAAAGAGACTCAATTTCATTTTATTTTACTGAACTAGGTTTGAAACCAGTTCAAAAGAATGCAGCTAGTCCTTCTGAATCTTTGACATCACACACAAGACTAAAGAATTGAATTAACAAATTACAAAAATAGTTTAAGATTCTAAATTACACCACCACATGGGAAGACTTAAAGTTAAATTTAATGGAGTACACTCTACCAAGGCCTGGATTCAATCTTCAATGCTCATCTGGCAAGAGCTGGTGACTTTACACATTCTGTTAATGGTTTAGAATCTTAACAGTGAACTGAATTGCTTCTTTAAAGTTAGTTTTTCTTCCTCATGGCATCTACAAATGTTTAGTGGAAGTCTTCACTTTAGCATTTCTTAAGATTCTTAGGTGTTCTGTGTCAACATATAATTTAAATAAAATTAAAGGGTGGAAGTATTGCTGATTTTTAACGTTTACCCGAAAAATATGCATTGTCTCATCATTAAGTTACTGAAAAATAAATAACAAAGTTTCCATAGGAAACATGCAAGCTCCTGTACAAAACACAATTTTTAAACTTGCATAGCTTTCTAGAGCCAAAACGTACAAGGCTATGCAATTCAAAATTAAACATGCACCAGTTTAGAAACTTAAACAACTTTATTTTTAATTATGCATGAGCAAAAAGGCATCTGAACCTTTCTTCCTCACATTCAGGTAATTCAGAAGAGCTAATATATTTAAAACTTTATCTAAAGATACCTCTGCAATTCCTCCTCTTGCACAGGTGCTCTGGGGAAGGGCTATAAGATTGGCAGTTTTGGAGATGGGGAGAGTGCTTTTGGGAAGGCCGGGCTCCATGCTCTAGGTTAAGCCCAAGAGTTGATAGTTTACTTTCCATGGAAGCTTTTCCTCCTCAACCATGTCACAACATTCAGATCAAGTTATAAGCTCCCCTTTTAAAAAGCAAGCTAGTATAGTTCTTTGAAGATCTGAAGAGTCCTTTTTTCTCTCCACACTCTAGCATGTCTGCTGCATTTCCAGGATCATCCTTTTAGCCAGATAACTGAATTAGGCTCCCACTGGCACCAGCTAGTTGTTCATTTGCTAGCGTTGTTAATACATACAAAGGCTGCTGGGGGGGGGGGGGGGGGGGGGGAGAGAGAAGAAATGCAGCAACCTTGCTAGACATGGGGAGGATAGAAAGGGGGACTAGAAACTGAACAGAGCTCCACTAGTTATTTTTGTACTTACGGTGGTTATACTTTGATCCTCTAACAACAACAGGGGGTTGCATCTTACTGAGTTTGTAAAACTAAAAAGGTGAGGGGGAGACTTGTAAACGCTGTAGAATTTATACAAACTCAACCTGGGCTCTGAAAGTCAAACTTGACTATCTGTTACTAGTGATGACTAGAGCTGGGCAAAAAAAGTGTTGACAAGTAGTAAACTTGCCAGGAAATTCCTTGTTTGGCGGTGGGGGAGGGGGACACAAACAATCCACAAATTCAGGTTGAATTCATTTAATAGTTGTGGCTGAAAAAAATGGGAATGAAGGAATGGAATCTTTAAAAAAAACCTGTTCATTTTGAAATAAAACATTTTTGTATTTTATTTAGAAATGTAATTAATTTTTAAAAAATTGAAATAAACACCTATATAACCCCACTGAATGCAACTCATGTTACACAGGATAACTGATGGCCATCATTTGGCTGGCAAAATCTTTTCTATAGTTGATTTGTGAAAACATCTGCAGGGCTGGCAGTGTCGTACAACTAGAAGCAGATCTGAAATGGAATTAGACAACAACGGAATGCCAACACCCTTCCCTCCCCCAGAAAAGAAGTTAATTCTGTAATATTGTTCTGAAAACTAAGAAAGCCAGATATATAAAAAAATAAGAATGAAGTTAGAGCAATACTATTTTGTATGGCATCATTACATCTCTCTTCAGGATGATAGCTCAGAGCAATATATTAAATGCTCTTTGGCATGTTTATAGTTTGAAACCTTCTCCAATGTTTGTTTAGAAAACCACTTACTGAAGTGATATTCTGAAAGTGAATCACTGTAGCTTGAGAGCATGGTACCTATAGGATCCTGATAGTTAAGACTGGAAGACAATCTCCACTACAAAATGTGACTAATTTTGCTAAATACAAAAGACTAAGATTTATTGAGGTAATTTGTGGGCAAGATGTATCTAACATATTTAAAATAAACTGAACAGAACAAGTTATAGTATGAACATGACTTCTCAGTATCAAGGTTTGATTATATTCCTTTAAAACTGCTTTTTTTGAACTGCAGCAACTATGCTAAAGTCACATTTGGTCAAAAACAAAAACTAAAATTCCAGATAATTCCATTAATTTGTTAGTTTGCAGCTTATGCCTCTGAAGCAGAGAAACTGTTTTATTAGAATCTGGTAATTCATAACATACTCAGGCAGTGAGTACTTTCTGCAATAAAAAATCCCAAGTACTAAAGTTACACACACAATGCTGTTACTGTTACAAATTGGTGAGTCATTTTTCAGAAAGTCACTATTATAAAAGACCAGAGAGCCGTTTTCCTGTAAAGTGGGTAAGCGTTTCAGTGTCTTTTTATGAAGTTTGTCCCCAAACCTAGAAGAGACATTGAGTTTGTCAGTCTTCTATTATTGGATTTAATGTAGCACTGGAATGGAACCCATTACCAGGAAGATACTGTCAACAGGTTACGAACAGTGCAAAAGGCAAGAAAAGAAATCCATTGGTAAAATCTGACCAGCCCTAAAAACCAAGTGTTATTGCAATTTTGTTTAAGCTATTTTAAACCACAGAAAATTAAGCTGAGTGACAGTATGACATTATCTGCAGAACAGAATAGTTATTAACATTCTCTGAACTACACTTCAAGAAGTTTTATTTGGATAAACATATGAGAACCCTTTAAACCGTTGTCTAGTTTGCTTCTGTGCTCAAACACAACCCACCAACTTTGTGATCTTGTGGTTGTATCTTAAGTTGGCAGGCAACAGATCATTGTGCATGTGGTATTGTATGCCCCTTTGTGACAAACTCACTCTTACTTGAGATGCATCTTGGACCATTCTCCCTGCTTTGAGAGCACTTTAAGTCTCTCACTAAAGTTATTACCATTGTCTGCCTCAATTACTGCTCCTTTCTTTATATTTTACTCCCTCAATTAGTTTGAGTTATTGTTTTATTTTACAGAGCCTGGGGCACCTCACAGAAGGAAGTTTGGGAAGAAATACTACGTCAAATTATTCTCCAACTCTTTTAATCATTAAAGCTTTCAGGAAACTCCATCTTTTTTCCTACTTGTCCTGCAGCGAAGTCTGGTGTGTACACATACCTTTTATCATGAACAACTGCACTGTCACAACACTCAATATAAATAGTCACACAACAAAGTGTGACTAGAGGCTGTGAGTAGAAGTTAAAATATTTTTGAGGAAAAAAATTACAGACTACAGTCAGTTTGCATGGATTTAAAAACCCAATTGAGTAATTTATTGGACAAACATCCCAGTGTAGCATTTTCAAACCACAGTAATGTATTAATGCATAAGAATCAGAAAGGAGACGTTTACTCTGTGATAGCTGAGAGAAAACAAGATTACTTGTAAATCTGATTTTTCTAAAAATATTCCGACAGGACCCCTGGTCTCAGCTACCTAACAAAACACTGCCAGCTCTAAGCTCTTAAGGTTTTTTCTATTTAAGAGCAGTGATAATAAGTGGAGCATTTTCAAGGCCCTCTACTGGCCAGCCTGAGCTAGCATGAGTTTGACCATTACCCTTAGAACACTGTAGTCAGTTTCAGCTCTGCAAGAAGAAAGCTCCCTCCCTGCTATCCATCCCCTTAAAAAAAATAAAAAATAAAAAAAAAGTCTTAAAAACAGGGTTAAGGTGCAAAAACCAACATCATCAGCAAGAGGTCTGAAGGGACATGAGCAAGAATCTTGTCAGAATGATACTTTAAAAAAGCAGTTACAAGGCAAGTACTTTTGCCTTCTCTAAAGAAGATACTCCAGGAATGAAATTCAGAGGGATGGAAAGAAGCTTGAGGGAGGTTGTCGTCTCCTCCACCCCATCGCACAAAAATGTTTTACAACAGACAACAACTATGTCAGCGGTTCTCAAACTGTGGGTCGGGACCTCAAAGTGGGTTGCGAGCTAATTTTAATGGGGTCGCCAGGACTGGCTTACACTTGTTGGGGCCTGGGGCCAAAGCTGAAGACTGAGCACCACTGCCCAGGGCCAAAGCGCATCAGCCCTGGATGACAGGCTCAGGTTATGGGCCCCCGGCCTGGAGCAGAAGACCTCGGGCTTCAGCTTTGGCTCTGGGGCGGTGGGGCTTGGGTGGTCTCAAGCTTCGGTCCCCTCTCCTGGGGTCGCGTAGTAATTTTTGTTGTCAGAAGGGGGTCGCAGTGCAATGAAATTTGAGAACCCCTGAACTAGGCCAATGCAAATAGCGCAACCAGCGATGCCTGAATAGGTATTTTAAAAACTCACACAGAGCAAAGACCTCTCCAAAATTTCCAGGATAACACAGGTAGCCTGAAGAATGTACCAGTTAAAAAAAAAAAAAAAAAAAAAAAAAA